TAGAGCGCTAGCCTTGAGCTGAAGAGCTGAGGGACAGTGCCCAGGCCCAGAGTTCAGGCCCCACAACCGGACCCAAAAAAAAAAGAAAAGAAAGAAAAAAAACACTAGCAGAAATCTAGTAGAGCACCAGCTGTGAATAAATAAGTTCAGGGAGTGTACAAGACCCTGAGTTGAATACCCAGTACTGAGGCACGTGTGTGTGCATGCGCATGCACGCATGTGCGCGCATACATACACAGGCACACACACGCGCACACACACACACACACACTCTAATTAGGAGTATACTCACACTCATTTTTCACTTACCTCCAAGAATAAATTATTAATCCATGAGAGAAAAGATACTACAAATATATTTTACTTATATCACATCTCATTTCTTCCTGTAACTCAGCAGTTTTGGGTAAGAAAAAAAAAGAGTATTTAACATGCTCACACAATTTTAAAGTTAAAGTATACACAGAAGCATTAACTGTTTCTTCTGATGCTATCACCTGAGCAAGATTATGTAATATGCAGGATATCCTGCTGCTGTAAAGTACTTACAACATGAAATCTTGTTCCCAAGAAGGTTGATCACCACGAACTGCTACAGTTGTACTCTTCACATTCTGTACTTTCAGGGTCACATATGTGTTAAACTTATCTTTTAAAAAAATGCAAAATGAAAATGTGATAATTAATGCTCAGATTGTTACTCAATCTCACATAGACCTTAGAATCAAGTAATATACAAATTAAAGTATTAAATTGCAAGAAAAAATAAGCTATATATTGTGTAATTCAAAGTACAGTAGAGTTGCAAAAATTATGAAAGTATATACTCTCTTCAATAACATAATCTAACTTTGCGTTTTTCTATATATTTGTAATCAGACATTATGGCACATGCTTATAATTCCAACATTAAGAAACTAAGCAGGATTATGAGTTCAGACTCAGCTAGACAGCAAGACCATGTCCCTCCACCCAAAAAATACAGATATGTATGTATGTATGTATGTACGTACATATATATACATTTTGCCAAGCACCAATGGCTCCTGCCTGTAATCCTAGCTACTTAGGAGGCTGAGATCTGAGGATTGCAGTTCAAAGCCAGCCTGGGCAGGAAAGCCCATGAGACTCCAATTAACCACCAGAAAACCAGAAGTGGTGCTGTGGCTCAAAGTGGTAGAGCACTAGCCTTAAGCAAAAAAGAGCTCAGGAACAGTGCTCAGGCTCCAAGTTCAAAAACCTATGACCAACATATATGTGTGTATGTGCATTCATATGTATTATAAATATATACATATATATATATATATATTTGCAGTAGAGCATTTGTCAGAAGTGGGGGTAGGAGGATCATGAAGGACAGAGCAAAAGCAGAATATCCTAGCTGAAAAACATAAGAACATAAAGTCTGGAGGTATACCTCAAATGATTTTATTGCTCATAAGTTGAAGCCATGAATTCAAAAACCACTATTGCCAAAAAAAAAAAACCAACAAAAACAAAAGAAGACAAAGTAGACAATAGTAAATGTACAAGAATATTTGTTTATGATACCAAAATATTGGGAAAAACCTAAATACTCATCCATCAGAGATCTTGGATGAAAATCTACAACAAAAATTTGCACAGCACTTTAAAAGAAAGAACTAGAAGCCAGGCATGGTATATTGGAATGTCCTATGAGTTCCATGCCTACTTGGTCTATATAGTGAGAAAAAAAAAAAAAGGGTGGGAACAGAAGGAAAGACAAGGGGAGAAGAGGGCAATACATATGAAGAAATGTTCATGATAAATAAAGTATATGGCATAGTATAATTCATTATACTTACAGAAAAGATCTGAAAAAATATATATTAAAAGCTCTAAATAATTGTGGGTGTTTTTTTTTTTTTTCCCTCGGTCATGGGGCTTGAACTCTGGGATTGGGTGCTGTCCCTGTGCTCTTCAGCTCAAGGCGAGCGCTCTACTGCTTGAGCCACAGCACCTCTTCCAGTTCTAGTGGTTTATTGGAGATAAGAGTCTCACAGACTTTCCTGCCCAGGCTGGCTTTGAACCGTGATCCTCAGATCTCAGCCTCCTGAGTAGCTAGGATTACAGGCATGAGTCACTGGCGCTTATTTTTGAGAAAGAGAACTGGGTTGAGGGCTGGGAAGGTGGCTCAGTGGTAGAGCGCTTGCCTTGCATGCTCAAGGCCCTGAGTTCGATTCCTCAGCACCACATAAGCAAAAAGAAAAAAGCCGGAAGTGGCGCTGTGGCTCAAGTGGTAGAGCGCTAGCCTTGAGCTGAAGAGCTGAGGGACAGTGCCCAGGCCCAGAGTTCAGGCCCCACAACCGGACCAAAAAAAAAAAAAAAGAGAACTGGGTTGATCAAGAGGAAATAAAATGAACTTTCATTGATAAATATAAATATACAGATTCCTTCAATTTGTACAACACCATTGATTTTAATTAATAATTTCATTTAATTTTGTGTGTGTCAGTCCTTGAACTAAGGGGCAGAGAGTTGTCGCTGAGCTTTTCTGCTCAGGGCTAGTACTCTGCCACTTGAGCCACAGCTCCACTTCTGGCTTTTTGGGTAGTTAGAGTCTCACAGACTTTCCTGCCTGGGCTAGCTTCAAATAGTGATCCTAAGACCTCAGTCTACTGAGTAGCTAGTATTACAGGAGTGAGGCACTGGCACCAGGCTTTAAGTCACAGAATCTAGAGAAAAAGCACATAATAACAGACAGCTTGACTTACCTGGTGAACCCTGGAATTTGGCTCTTTTAACTACAAGAGAAAAATAAAAGATACCATTAATAATTAATCAACAATGCTTGAGTACCTTCTATATTCCAATATTAAAGGTAAGATTAGATAGTTAAGTCTAATTCTTTTTTCTTTTTTTTCTTTTTTGCCAGTCCTGGGACATGAACTCAGGGCCTGGGCTTTGTCCCTGAGCCTCTTTGTTCTTAAGGCTAGCACTCTACCACTTGAGCCACAATCCACTTCTGACCTTTTCTGTTTATGTGGTACTGAGGAATCAAACCCAGGGCTTCATGCATGCTAGGCAAGCACTTTACTAATAAGCCACATTCCCAGCCCCAAGTCTAATTCGTAAGAAGTTGAATGGTAACCCCTTCATAAAATACTTAAAGAAACTAAAAATATAAATTTTAAACTATATATATACTGCAATTTCTATAATTCCATTTTATAAATGCAAACCAAAACCCTCATGGCACAATCAAAATGGATCAAAAACTTGTATGAGCTAACATTATAAAGCTTTTAAAAAAGGTCTTTGTGACTTTAGTTAGACAGCAGTTTCATGAGTATAAAACCTAAAGTCAGGCACTGATGGCTCATGCCTATAATCCTAGCTGAGATCTGAGGATCACGGTTCAAAGCCAGCCTAGGCAGGAAAATCAATGAGGCTCTTATCTCCAATTAACTGCCAGAAAAACCGGAAGTGGGGCTGTGGCTCAAGTGTTAGAGAGCTAGCCTTGAGCTGAAGAGCTGAGGGACAGTGCCCAGGCCCAAATTTCAAGCCCCACGACTGACAAAAAAAAACAAAAAAATAAAAACAAAATCCTAAATCAAGCAAATAAACAAATGCCAATAGTGGGGCTCCGTGGTATTTTCAATAGTCACTGAATTTCCTGCTACAATATAAGAGTAGTAAATTGGCATATTAGATCAAAGCATGCTCATTGGGACATGACATAAATTAGTTATATTTGGGGGTAGTATTTTTATCTTAAGCTCTAATGCAAATTATGCATTGCAAATTTGTTCTGTTAACTACTACTCTGAAATTGAAAAAGAGTTACATTGACATTCTGAATGCTTCTAAGTAAATACAATTTTTTAAATTTTCATTTTCTCAGTCGTGGGGCTTGAACTCTGGGCCTGGGCGCTGTCCCTCAGCTCTTCAGCTCAAAGCTAGCACTCTACCACTTGAGCCACACTGCCACTTCTGTGGTTTATTGGAGATAAGAGTCTCATAAACTTTCCTGCCGAGAAAAAAGAATTTACATGGTGAACTTCCCTAACCCGAAATGCTATGAGCACCAGAACACCAAAAAAACTTTAAATTTTGGAGCACTTTGGATTTTGAATGCTCAACCAGTAAAATCTATGCTGTAAAATACTATAAAAAATACTGTAAAATCTGACAAATTCTAAAACTGGAAGTATTTTTAGCCCCACATCAGATAATGGGTACAAACCTATATACAAATGGGCCAGTAAGTTCATGAAAGATGTTCCACTTTATCAGAGCAATATAAATCAAGCCAAGCACCAGTGGCTCATGCCTATAATCCTAGCTACTCAGGGGACTGACATCTGAGAATCACAGTTTGAAGCTAGTCCAGGTAGGAAAGTTCATGAGACTCATATCTCCCAATTAACCACCAAAAGCCAAAGTGAGTGGTGGCTTAAGTGGTAGAACACTGGTCTTGAGCAAAAATGTATATACATATGTATAAACACATATATTTTATATATACAAACACATATATACATATATGTATATGTATATACATGCATGCATACATATACATGTGTATACGCAATGCATATATATATATGTGTGTATATATATATACATATCACAAATAAGGTACTATTTCTCACTCATAAAACTGGCAAAAAGAGTAAGAAAAAAAATTTAGACCAGCCAGGCACAGTGGCTCACACCTGTGAATCCCAGGCAAAAAGTTTTCAAGACACTATCTTAACCAGTAAATATGGGCCTGGTGCTACAACTACATGGGAAGCTTAAATAAGATTACAGTCTAAGCTGATCCAGGCATAAACTCAAGACCTTATTCAAAAAATAATTAAAGTAAAAATGGCTGGGAGCATGGCTGAAGTGGTAGATTACCTACCTATTATATCAAGGTCCTGTGTTATATCCCAGTACAACCAAAGAACAAGCAAGAAAGACAGTATCAGGCCTGGATGTGAAGAAAGTAGGTCTTTTACTCACTGCGGATAGAATTGTCACTTTGGAAAACAGTCTGAAGTTCCTCAAAAGGTTAAAGATTTATTTGGTTCCTGTAAGGAATTCTACTCCTAAATACATTCAGAAGAAATGAAGAGCTAGGCACTCGTGGCTCACATCTGTAATCCTGCCTACTCAGGAAGCTGAGATTTGAGGATGGAGGTTCAAAGCCAGCCCAGCAGGAAAGTCCATGAGAATCTTATCTCCAATTAATCACAGAAACAAAAAGAAAGTGGAGCTGTGGCTCAAGTGGCAGAGCAGAAGCCTTGAGCAAACAAGTTCAGAGACAATACCCAGTCCCAGAGTTCAAGCCCCAGGACCTACAAAAAAAGAAAAGATATGAAATGAAGACATATACCCAACATAGAAACATGTACACAAATTTTCATGGCAGCATTAATCAAGAGGATTCAAAGGTGAAAACCCCCCAAAATACTGATAAACTGAAGAAAGGATAAACAAAGTATGATAAAAAAAAACATTAAATGAGATATAATTCAGCCATGAAAAAGTACAGATATATACTATGAGTGAACAAATGTTTACTAACACAAAGAAGCCAGTCACAAAGTACCATACATTACATTATTCCTTTTATATACTTCCAAAACTGTAAAAATCCATAGAAATAGAAAGCAGGTTAATAATTACTAGGAATGGAAGAAGAAGAAAAGATTGTTTAAAGGATAATGATTTTTTTAAAGTGTTTATTCAAGCCCCATGACTCACAAAAAAAAGTTTTTAAAATAAAGAGAGGTAATGATTGCACAAGATTGTAAATATACTAAAATCCTGGGCTGGGAAGGTGGCTCAGTGGTAGAGCGCTTGCCTTGCATGCCTGAGGCCCTGAGTTCGATTCCTCAGCACCACATAAGCAAAAAGAAAAAAGCCGGAAGTGGCGCTGTGGCTCAAGTGGTAGAGCGCTAGCCTTGAGCTGAAGAGCTGAGGGACAGTGCCCAGGCCCAGAGTTCGGGCCCCACGACCGGACCCAAAAAAAAAATAAAATCCATTGAACTGAACACTTTAGGATAATAGAGCTGGATATGGAGGGATTCCTGTAATCCCAGGACTTGGGAGGTTGAGGCATGAAAATTTTGAGTTCCAAGCCAGCTTGGGCTACATAAAGAGAATCTATAATAATAATATGCTTATGCTATGTGAATTTCCCTTGAATTTAAAAGTCTATATATTAAGCTGCACATAAATATTCATAGCAAAGCTAGGCATGTTGGCATGTATATACCTGTAATCTCAGCACTAGGAGGATGGAGCAAGAGGAACATTAGTTTGGAGCTAACATAGACTATACATAGTGAGACCCTGGCTCAAAAAAAATTCACATGTATATAAATGCTTTCATATATTGACATGAATAAGAACAAAGATACAAAAGGATATATACTAAGTGTGCTGTGAATATAATATATCTCTGGAGATAAGTCAGCAAGAAATGTAAAACTAAGCCAGGCTTGGTGGCTCACCCCTGTAACCCTATCTACTCAGGAGTCTGAGATCTGAGGATTGTGGTTCAAAGCCAGACAGGGCAGGAAAGTCCATGAGACTCTTATCTCCAATAAACCACTTAGAAAACCAGAAGTGGCTCTTTAGCTCAAGTGGTAGAGTGCTAGCCTTGAGCTGAAGAGCTGAGGGACAGCACTCAAAAAAAAAAAAAGAAATAAAAGAAATGTAAAACTATCAAATTTTTAAGTTTTCAAATCTTTATATTGTTCACTAATTTAAATAAGCACATATTACTGTCTATATGTAAAAACCATTAAATGTACAGTCAAGTACTTGTGGCTCACATCTGTAATCCTAGCTACACAGAAAACTGAGATCCGAGGATCATGATTTAAGGCCAGCACAGGCAGAAAAATTCACTAAACTTTACCTCCAATAGAGATAACCAGCAAAATAAAGCAAAGGGAGAGGCATGGCTCAAGTGGTAGCATGGCAGTAAAGCAATCATGAGTCCCAAGTTCAAAATCCAATACTACCAAAGAATATAAATTAATCAAATATGTAATAAATAAAAATATTATATAGCTCAACTATTTCCTCAAGACTGAAAAATAAAACCTGATTAAACAACAAACTTGATGCCTAATTATGAAGCTAATTTAAAAGGAATGCTTTCAGAATCAAAGCTATGAGGGGCTCCAGCACAGAATTCATCTTCTTCCACACCATTATGTTCAAAAAAATGAAGAGAAGAGGCTGGGAAGGTGGCTCAGTGGTGGAGCGCTTGCCTTGCATGCATGAGGCCCTGGGTTCGATTCCTCAGCACAAGAAAAAAGAAAAAAGCCGGAAGTGGTGCTGTAGCTCAAGTGGTAGAGTGCTAGCCTTGAGCTGAAGAGCTGAGGGACAGCACTCAGGCCCAGAGTTCAGGCCCCACAACCAGACCCAAAAAAAAAAAAGAATTGAAAAGATGGGTAGGAAAGTAATAGTCACAATAGAATACTTAGGCTCCTACAAGACTCCAATGTGAAAACCCTAAATCCAGGCTAAAAAAAGATAATCCGGGAAGAACATTTTTCCCTAAAGTATATTTTTCCTTAAATAAATGCAAAAATAAGAGAATATCTAAGATCTGTACCCATCTCTCAAAAAAAAAAAATCTTCAGCTCCCGAGTTCCTCTGACCTTATTGTGGAACCAAATCTGCACTCTGAGATTACAGGAAATAATCCTATTTGCAATGACTCTGCAATCACTGACCTGGTTCTCCAGGCATAGGGAATGGCTGAGCTGTCTTGTTTTAGGCTATGCTGTCATGAAAC